AGATTGTTTTGTGTCATAGCCCCATATAATTTCAGACATAGCCCACCCATCAATTTGAACCAACCCAACAACAAAAGCCCCAAATATTAAAAAATGAAACTCATTTATATGGCCCAAACACATGTTGTCTTGCCCAACTTAATGTGTTGATTTTTTATTTTTTATTTTGGTTTATAATGTAAATTAAATTGGAGAATTGGCGTATGGTTCTTAATCTTCTCTGCGAGCACCCTGACTTCACTCCTCCGCTGCCGCCAATCCCACCGGCGCCACCGCCACGCCCCGACTTCACTCCTTCTCGCCGCCAATCCTACCGCCATGACCCCGTCTTCACTCCTTCTCGCCGAGACGCCATCAATCCGCGGCTCCACCACCGTCAAACCCTGTCCTCCACAGCCGCAACCCGAAAACCTCGCAGGGAAAAAAATTGAGGGTGTAAGGTTTTTTATTTTTATTTTTTTTTAATTGGGGGTGTAACTTGTAAGGTTGTTTGTTAACTACTGCTTAATTTGTCTTTATCTAATTATATTTTAATGCTCAATAATGGTTTTACTTTCATCTAGTTACATTTTAATGCTCAATTATTATTCTGATAACAATAGGGGAAGTTTAAGGTTGGTTCATGATTCATTTTCCTTGTGTGTTGTAGTAACTGGAAGCTGTGGAAGTTGTTGTCTTATATATTTTTCCCATAATCTTTTTGTCTGATTCGAAAAATGTGATAGAAAAGTGAAAAAAAGAAAATTAGAAAAAGTAATATATATTTGAAGTTATGTATGTATATACAATATGAATAAAATTAAATGTTCCTGGTTCATCATATAATATAGAGGCATGTTCCTGGTTCATCATTTCATGTGATACAGATACTCACCTAAATAATGACAATTATGATGATAGAATTATTTAATATAGTAATACCAAAGCTGATAGTATTTATTAATTTTGTGTTCCATACAATCTGTAAAATAATATTTATACATTGAAAGTTTGATAAAGATGTTGAGGCACAAGTAATAGATTATTGTTATTATTGGTGGATCAGTTGGGGCTTCAGCCCTTTTGAATCTCTAAGAAAGAAGAAAGTCTTTCTACCCCATGTGACTGTACGACTACGTCTGGGAAAGGTAGAAGGAATAAGGGCGTGCTTGTTTATGAAATATTTCATTTAAAATGAGTTATTTTAGTTAATTAGAGTTAATTTTGAAAAAGGTAGTATAATTAATTGTTAGTGGGATATAAATGATTGAAAATGATTATTAATGATTTGATGTAAAAGTAGGATATAAATGATTGGAAATAATAGGTAGTTAAAATTATGTGAGTGGATGAATAGTTAATTAAAGTTGATGTGATATGTAAGAATAATTGGTTTATAATATTTATTTATATAAATAATATAAATGATAGTGGAGTTGAGTTAAAGTTGAGTGAGATTTTGAGTGGAAAATGAATTATTTCATAAACAATCATGCCCTAAGCTGCTTAAGTGCTTAAGTACAGATGATATAAATAGTTCCATTTGGGATGCTAATATAAATTACAAGTCAATCTAACATGTTCATTGAAATGGGACTACAGAGCAAGCATTTTTGCTATGAAACTTATTAAAAAAGTGCTTCATAATTACCATTTTCAAATTGAGGAGCTGAGGGTGGGCACTTGAATACGGTTGTCAGTGGTTGCATTATTTATGTTTAGCTTTATTCCGCATATTTTACAAACTCAGTTATGATTTATGACTTGTGAACTGGTTCGGAGTTTACTTTGAATCATTGAGTTTACTCAAAGTTGAGACTATGCATTATATATTTGAGTACTCTGCATTGTCTTAAATATTTTTGGGAGTTAGATCCCTGAAGTTCCAAGCTAGCGGTTTGGATCGAATTAAAGAGATAGAAAAGAAAGAAAGTTTTAGAAAGAAAGACTAGTTTTGAGTAGTAGCCAAAACAAGTATTTTATTTTGAAAAAATTTTTAAAATATTTTTGAAAATTATTATTATTTTCTAAAGAATAGCAAGTGGGTGCTACACTTTTTCAATAAATTTTTTATTACCTTTACTAATGATTTTTTTCAATAAGCAATATCTAATCAAACTATTATTATCTAAAAAAAAGTTGAATAGTTAAGCATACCTCATCTCATGAAGTTAACCAATTACTTGCAAATACACTAAATTGAATCCCAATGCACATTGTTTTTGTCCTAGCAAATTGAGATATTGCTAGAATTTGGTGTTTCCATAATTAAAACTCATCAATGCATCAGCCTACTCTCATTAAAATAGACCAAACACAACAAACGTTGGATAAACACTAAGAGGAAAAAAAAAAATAATGGGCCTACTCAAGATAGATGAATAAACCTCCAAAATTAATAGTAGCACTAGTAATGATAAAATTAGATATTGTGATATAATAACTAAATAGAAAATGGAAATATATTCTTTTTTAGGGGCATTTTGGCCCACCTTCCTTGGTCTTCCAATTGTTGTAGCAGGGGCAAACAGCTTTGTTCCCATAATACCCCGGAGGCACGCAAAGGCACTTTCTGCAGCACTTTTGGCAGAAGAACATGCAGGGCTTGTGGTATTGGGTCCGCCCGCATCGCCTCGAACATTGCGAGGGGCATTCTTGTCATTTCAAATATCAAAACGCCACAAGAAAAAAGTAAAAAGTAAAAAGAAAAGAAAAGTCAGTAAGTTTGACAAAACCAGTCAACTATAGTCTATATTTCTGATTTTCTTGATAGGGTCAACTGGTCAAACCATTTTCAATTATCCCACACAAACCTATGCAATCTTGACTTTTTCTTTTTTTAGATACATCAGCTCAACCTTAATTTTTTATCCATATTTACGAGTTAAATTGTTGAAAATTACTTTAAGAAACATAATTTTAAAATTAAAACAAGCCCGAATTT